TAACAAGGTGACAGCATAATAGTTTGGGGTGTGAGTAGAAATGTCTAAAGGCTGGTGAAATGAGCCCAGTCTACCTATTTATGTGGACTTAGCACTTATTCATTAAGAAATATGCAGGTTTCCAGGAAAAAGAGTAGTATCTATCATGTACCTTGTTTACCAATTGTGAATATGATCGCACAACTTCAATCCTGGTATATTAAAAAAAAAAAAAAAAAAAAAAGACCGATACCAAATATATGCAAAACATAGGCTGGTGAAAAAGCCTACTCTACCTATTTATGCAGTTTAAGGTATATAAGTTTCTTGAAAACAGAAAAACAAAAACAAAGATAATTTTTTTAAACCCTGAAATTCAGCTCCTAAAACAATATTAACATGAACAAGAAAACTAAAACATGCAAAGTAGTGATGGCTAGGCTATCAAAAATAGATTTCCAGCTGGGCACAGTGGCTCACTCCTATAATCCCAGCACTGGCACTGGGAGGCTGAGGTGGGCAGATCACCTAAGGTCAGGAGTTTGATACCAGCCTGGCCAATATGGGGAAACCCCATGTCTACTAAAAATCCAAAAATTAGCTGGGTGTGGTGGTGCACGCCTATAATCCCAGCTACTCGGGAGGCTGAAACAGAAGAATAGCTTGAACCCAGGAGGCAGAGGCTGCAGTCAGCCGAGATTGTACCATTGCACTACAGCCTGGGCAACAGAGCAAGACTCTGTCTCAAAAAAAAAAAAAAAATGATATCTGATTTCTGGTTTTACTTGTAATAAATATTAACCCTAGCAGTGATATGTAAGCAATGCCATCATTTTTGTTTCACAACAAAGATAGCATTTTTGTGGCTGGGAACAGACAGCCCTGGAGTGCCTCCCAGCTTGGTCTCTCCAGTACCCACTAGCCAGTGAGAGTGCTCACACTTGCAAGTCTCAGGACCAGACATTTAGCACATGGAGGTCCTCTACTCAGTGGGTCTCTGAGCTTCAGGGGATGTGTTGGCAGAGGCAGCACTCTGCCTAGCACACAGCGGGCAGGTGCTTTCACTCAGTGAGTTCTCATTAGCCTGAAGGTGGGTTCTGGGAGGCTGCTGAAGGTGGCCTTATGTTTCCTTTACAATTTTTAGAACAAAATAATGATACATGAATAACTTAGAAAATATTCTCAGTGAAAACTTGATTCTTTAATGTTGGCTCTGTTGGACACTTGCTCATAGTAAGCTGGGAATTAAACATAATTAATAACCCTTTGATCCTACTTGTTTTTGACTACTTTCCTATGACTACTACTACTACACCTAATTAACCTGGTGACACCTACAGCATAATAAATTCCCTAAGGCAGTTCCCTAAGAGATTCAGAAATCTCTTCAATTACTGCTAATTTAATGGAATGCCCTTGAACTCTGGAGGCATGCTGCCCCTGTGAGCTCACACCTACACTGAGGCCAAGAGGAAGCAGCAGGGCCTGACTGCAGAACTCCAGCATCGCCCGCAAGCCCCTTCACGACTGCCTCCTGTATTCCCGAGACAAACACCAAGTACACAGCCAGGGCTGTTTTCCCGACAGGAGCTTGGGAAAATCTTCCTTTAGTACTACGATATGCACCTCACAGAAGGAAAAGTCAAATGTATCACTGTCTCTAATTAAGAAACAAGAATGATAGAGAAGGTTTCATTTCTGCAAGATAAATACAACTGTAAGTAAATGTGGATTAATAATAAGGATAACATTTAGAACTTTCTAAGAGCTAAATGACTTGTAAAATATGCAACTGCTCATTTTTCTTTGACAAGTCTAAAACAAACATTGTCAATGAGAACATCAAGATGTTAAAACACAGTTGATTCCATGGGCCTCTTTCTGCAGGATACTTTGTTTTTGAGAGAAATTTCTGGTCATGAGGGCCCTCATTTTGTGGGTTTCACCATAACTGGTCCCATGCAGTGCCAGCATGTGGTTTTCACACACATTTTGCTTCCATATACATTTTAAAACATGGCTAACTTTTTGTGGAGACAGGGCCTGGCTATGTTGCACTGGCTGGTCTCAAACTCCTGGGCTCAAGCATCCTCCTACCTCAGGATCCCAAAGTGCTGGAATTACAGGTGTGAGCTGCCACTCCCAGCTATGTATGGTGGTGTGTGCCTGTGGTCCCAGCTACTCGGGAGGTAGAGGCAGAAGGATTGCTAAAGCCCAGGAGTTGGAAGCTGCAATGAGCTATGATTATGCTCCAGCACCTATGGCATGGACAACAAATGGGGATCCTATCTGAAAAACAAAACAAAATGAAACAAACTCAAAAACAAAAAACCCCACATGGAAACACCGTGTTTCCATTAACACAGCGCCTTGCAAAACAAGGACTGCCTTACTTGAAATTCAGTTTAATTGCCTTAGCTACAGGAACAGCTCATGATAAAAAGGCAAATATTTTACCTTGTCTTTATCAGTTTGTAAATACAGAGCTGAAAACAAGTGCCAACATACTCTGATCAATTCTGGGACATGGTGTGTGGAGTGCAGCACCTTCGCTTTTCTACTGAGCAATAACTCGGGTTAAACAACAACAGAAAAATGGTGTTTCTGGGAGCAAGGCTTTATAGCCTGAAGCTATGAGGTAATTCTTTCATAAGGGGAAAATTCTTAGGACAAATAAACATGTTTCAGTGGAATTTATAGCGGGATGCCAAGCATGCAAACATATACATGTCCAGACACAGACACAGATACATGTTCCCGCTGGGACCTGTTCCAGCTGCACCTGGAGGCTCAGCCTTGACTCTGACTTACTAGTTGGGAGGTCTCAGGTACGTCCCACGTCAAGCAATTGCAGTCAAGTGGAATTCAATAATGAGACTTAAATCAAGAATGAGATTTAAATCAGCCCAGGGATGTGTGTTGCTAAGAAAGCTCTCACTGTCTTTCAATGACTGTTTATACCTATGGCATCATAAAAATTATATACCTGGTTTTTGTCCCCACTTCATGACACAGAGCTCCTAAACACTTGGAATATCTGAGTCACTAACAGCCATTTTCAACCTAATGAGGTGCCTTTAGTGGGCCCAGGATAGCTTTAGGAGACAGGGTCTGGACATCAGAAAGACCAAATATGTGATTAGCAGATTGAATACGAGCGTGATGGCTCACACCTGTAATCTCAGCACTTCGGGAGGCTGAAGCAGGTGGATCACCTGACACCAGGAGTTTGAGATCAGCCTAGCCAACATGATAAGACCCTGTCTCTACTAAAAATACAAAAGTTAGCCAGGCGTGATGGCGCATGCCTTTAATCTCAGCTACTTAGTAGGGTAAGGCAGGAGAATCGCTTGTACCCAAGAGATAGAGGTTGCAGTGAGCTGAGATTACACCACTTTACTCCAGCCTGGGCAATAGAAAAAGACTCCATCTCAAAACAAACAAACAAAAAAGACTGGAACTTTCTGCCCTTCCCCTCATCTCCAGGGAGGGCACCATGGCTAAAACAAGTTCAATGAGCAATGGTCAGTGATGTCATCACTCACACCAACGTAAGAAACCGCCATAAAAATCTCTACATGAGGGGTCTGGGCAGCTTTGAATTTGGTGAGCACATGGAGGTGCCGGGAGGTCAGGTGCCTTGCTTCCATTTGGCTGTCCCTGAGTTGTACCCTTCATAAAACAGCAGACAGTGTATGAAAGTGTTTTCCTGAGCTCCATCAGTCACGTTAGGGAATTATTAGACCTGAAGAGAGGATTGCAGGAACCCCCAATTTCCAGCCAATCGGAAGTATAGGTGGCCCCTGAAACGTGTGATGGGCGTCTTGTGGAACTGGGACCTTAACGTTCAGGGTCTGGGCTAACCCTAGGAGTAAGTGTCAGAACTGAACTGAACTGCTGTACGGCCCACTTAGCTTCAGGGAATCAGAGGTCTGTGCACTGTGGCACAGGTTCGGGCTGCCTCTACAGGTTCAAGGTAGTAAGCTGCACCCTGGGCAAAACAAGAAAAGAAAAAACCCCAGGTGTTTCAAGACTATTCAAAGTAGCTCAGCTTTATTGGGAAGGAGGTTTCTGAGTAATTTCCCTGAGCTTGTAAATGGTGTAACTGGTTAGCGATGAGAGGTGAGGTGTGAAAAAGACCTCTCACAGAAAGGCTCCTCCCCACAAACCACTAAAGTCCTCACATGCAGGAACCCAGGGGAAGGAGGCATTTGCAGGGACTTATACTTACATCACAGGGGAGCCTCCCATTTCAAGGGTGCCTTGCTGTGATTCTAGAATCTGTATCTGCAGATCGTTCAGGCCAAGGACTCCATCTCAGCAGTCACAGAGCGGTCAGAGGAATCTGGAGCCAGGCCTAGCCAACACAGGCGGTCAGCTCTCTAAACGCTCTGCCCAGGTCACCTGAGGAGGAGTCTCATATAACAAGAAGAGGGAACCAGGGGCCGTCTCCACTGCATACCCTGCATGGTCAGCCAGCCGTGGTGCAGGACAGGGGGCTCCACTAGCTGCCACTTTCCAATGGAGAAATGGACGGAAGTTCAAAAACTTGACGATAACCCCAACATCACTACATAAGCAAAAACTGCAGCAAGCGATGAGCACTCTATAAGCAGTTGGGGAGGGGAAGTGAGTTTTAGTGACTGACATCTGAACTGCAGTGAATTCTCACCTCAAAGGCTGTAACTTGAAAATAAGACTGTTGTAAGCCCCACATCATTAAAACCTCTGCTTCCCTGGAAAATGTCTGAATAGGCACTGTAGGCCTCTTAGACTATCCCTGAGACCCAGTGGATTCTGGCTGAGTCTCACTGGCCTGGAGACTTAGGTGTGGCTGTGACTTCTCACAAAATCTTCCAGCCAAGTCATCTCCCTGCTCACATACCCAAGTTCCAGGGAGCACTGCAAAGTGGCCTTCAACAGCACATACCACAACCTTTCACATTTAGCAAACATGACGCGGATATGATTTGGTGGATCATGGTTGTGGAACATGACCCATCTCACCAGCACCCGCTTACCTTCTCCATAGGAGGACGGGGAGAGAACCTCTTGGCACAAGCTAGGAAGATGTCAGGGTCTGGCTTGCCACGCTGCACTTCAGGGTCGTCTCCTAGCACGATGTGAGAAAACAAGCTGAAGAACTCCTTGTGCTGGCTTGTCTTCATCTCGAATGATGCAGACCCTGAGCTGGTGGCCAGGGCAAAGGGGATGCCGTGTTTCCGCAGGTGGATGATGAGTTTCTCAGCCCCTGGGGAGGAAGAGGGAAGGACTGTGGTGAGGGGTGAGGCCTCCACAAGGCTTTCTTCCAGGAACAGTCCCTCCAGCTGTGTGGCAGCACACTCTCAGGCTTCATCTTCTGAGGAATTTTTGACCTAGGACAGGTTGTCTAAAAGGGGTTGTCAGCTCCAAAACATCCCTGCTCAATGTAAAACAAACCAAAAAATCAAAAAAGCTATTGGGGGCTGAGCGATGGCATTTCCCAAAGGAACAGAAGAGGAGCACTCCGGGAGGCATTGCCGCTTTATCTGCTGGGCCTCTTTATGAAGTGTGGACAAGGGCAGGGGGCAGGCCCAGACATGATTGGACCTGGGATCTGGGCAGGCCACCAGGGAAGGTGCCACACAGCAGGGCATCGCTGAACCATACTTTTTTCCCAAAGCAGTCAATACACAAGGGCTATGCTTTTGGTGTTTTCTGCAAAAATGCTGTGTTCTGCAGAAAACATTTAATCTTTCTTCACTCTGCTGAGGTGAGGAAATCACACAACAGCCTCCACCAGATGCTGAAGTAGGCTGCGGCTGGCTGAGGGATGGCTGCGATGCTACTTAATAAGGGATCAGGGGACAAAAGAAAGCTGGTGAACACAGCTGATCGACAGCAACATGCCATATGAAAAGAGTATCCTCAGGCTGTCATTAGCCATATGGATTAACCACAGGGACCACATGGGTTCAGGGAGGTCATCACAGAGCCAATTACGAGAGGAGTAGTTATCAGAAAGGGTAAAAAATACCAGGAGTCCTTACCACCTTTAACTTATGCTAACTAGCACAACAGGAACATCTAAATCCACACAAGGTATGACGGTTTATCTAAAATTGTATTTTATTTTTGAGACAGGGTCTCTCTCTGTCACCCAGGCTGGAGTGCAATGGCCAATCTCGGCTCACTGCAACCTCCGCCTCCCAGTTTCAAGCGATTCTCCTGCCTCAGCCTCCTGAGTAGCTGGGACTACAAGCGCATGCCACCACGCCCAACTAATTTTTGTATTTTTAGTAGAGATGAGGTTTCACCATGTTGGCCAGGCTGGTCTCAAACTCAGCCACAGGTGACCCACCCGCCTCATCCTCTCAAAGTGCTGGGATTACAGGCATGAGTCGCTGTGCCTGGCCTAAAATTATATTTTAAATCATCATGTAATCATGCCTATTTTAATAATATTATGAAGTAATATCCCTACTTTGTCAATTGTTACACAGAAGAATCAACATAGTAATTTTTTCCAAACACCTAAAGTCATTCATGGTATGGTAACAGATAGATATCTGGAGCACCTGACCCCGTAGAGATTTTTAAAAGGAAGGCATGGACAGATTGTAATGTGTAAAGTTAAATAAAGCAAATGAAATCAAGCAAAATCTAGCATTCCATTGGGTGTAGAATTTATAGTGTCTAACATTCAATCAAAAATTACCATGCCGCAATGAAGCAAATACCACTCAAAACCAGGACGGAAAAAAATGTTGTCTATAGAAACCTACTTTAAATATAACTACACAGATAGATTGAAAAATAAAAGGATAGAAAACTACATACCACATGACTATTACTCAAAAGAGAGCCAGGTTACTTACATTGATAACAAATAAGCCTTTAGAACAATGAATATCATCAGGGATAAACAGGAACATTTCATAATGACAAATAGGTCAGTTCATCAATAAGACATAATTCTAAATGTGTAAACATCAAATAGGAGAGCTTCACAATGTATAAAGCAAAAACTAACAGAACTGAATGGAGAAACACAAATGTAGAAGGAAGTTTAAAATTCCTCTATCAGCAATTGACAGAACAAGTAGACAGAAAAGAAGTAAGGATATAGCAGACTTTGGAACTACTGCCAAGCAACCTGACATAATTGATGTTTATGTAATACTTCACTCAACAACAGCAGAAACCACATTATTTTTAAGTACACATGGAACATTCAACAAGAAAGATCTTATTATAAACGATAAAACAACCTCAAAAATTATAAAATAATTAAAATCATACAGAATACCTTCTCTAACAATGATAGAATTAAAATAGACATTAATAATAGAAAGGAATGTGGAAAATCACAAATATTTGGATGTTACACTTCTATGTAAGACACAGGCCAAAGATGAAATCACAAAGGGAAACTAGGTAATATTTTTTAGAGAACCAAAAAACTATCAAAATTCTGGGATGTGGCTAAAACATTTTTTAGAGGAAAACTGATGGTATTAGGTGATATGTTAAATAATAAGGTCTCAAATAAGTGATGTAAGTTGTCACATTTAAAACCTGAAAGAAAGAAGTTCAATGATTTAAAACATCAAGGAAAAGAGAAAATTAAGCCCAAAACAAATAAAAGGAAGGAGATAATAAAAATGAGAGAGAAAATTAATGAAATAGAAAGGAGAATACAGAAAACTAAATCAAAAGCGAGTTCTTTGAGAAGAGCAATTAAATTAGTAGACTCCTAGCTAAACTGATCAACACAATCAAGAAGATCCAAATGTATCAACCTTGGCAGAGAAAGAGGGGCCAACACTACAGATCCCAACATCAATAAAATGATAAAAACTTAATTATTATAGGAGTAAATGACAACACACTTGACCACTTAGATGAAATCAGATTAATTCTTTGAAAAATAGAAAACTTCCTCAAGAAGACATGAATAACCGGAATAGCCTTCTGTCAATGAAAGAAAGTGAATTTGTAGTTAAAAACCTTCCCACATGTTGGATTAGATGGCCTCACTGGTAAATTTACTAACTTCTCCCCCCAAAAAAGAATGCCAATTCTAAACAGACTTATCAGGAAATAGGAGGAAACACCTCTCAACTCATTTGACATCAGCACTCACTTATCCCAAAACCAGACAAAAGCCAGACAAGAAAACTACAGATCTCATGAACAGATACACACCTCCACACATAAAAACAATATTCAACCAGTGTAGAAGTATTCCACATGAAGAGCTTCTGCAGAACTACAATCCATTAGTTAAAAATATTAAAATGTCACACTATTTCACTAGTTTGCAACAACCACTAATTATTATCACAGAAGACTACATTTATTAATTAGCTAAATTTCAATTTAAACCTTAATCTAACTAGTGCATGACATAAAAGAAAGCCTCTAACTTATTTTAAAAGAGCCAATCATGTGTGGTAGTGCATCCTATAAGCCCAGTTACTTGGGAGGCTGAGGCAGGAGAATCACTTGAACCCAGAAAGTGGAGGGTGCAGTGAGCTGACATGGCGCCAATGCACTCCAGCCTGGGCGACAGAGCCAGACTCCATCTCAAAAACAACAACAACAAAAAAATTAGCCAATCATTAACTTCTGTCTGGATATATATAGTGATTAAAGTTGAGTATTAAAATGATCTGAATTTGAAAGAAGATTTTCAAATTACTGTATCATACAATTTTAAACCAATATTTAAAAAAATAACGGAGCACATTTAAACACATGGCTTTCTGTAAAACACACTGTATAAAGAAAATATTGTTAAAGTACGTTGGTGCTATTAATTTGAAAAACTTAAATATAGATTTTATTATTATTATTGTTTTGAGACAGGGTCTTGCTCTGTGATCCAGGCTAGAGTAGAGTCGAGAAATCATAGCAGCCTCAACCTCCTGAGCTCAAATGATCCTCCAGTCTCAGCCTCCTGAATAGCTGGGATTACAAGTGCATGCCACCACGCCTGATAAATTTTTTTTTTTTTTTTGTAGAGACAGAGTCTCCCTATGTTGCCTAAGCTGGTCTTGAATTTCTGCTTCAAGCAGACCCCTTGCCTTAGCCTCTCAAAGCCCTGGGCTTACACGGGTGAGTTTATCCTTGTAGCATCTCTATTGCTGTGAATTATTTCTAAGGTACCGGCTGTAACAGTGTAGTACATAAACAAATGCACATCAATGTGCTTGGTCTGGAATGCAGCTCAATATTCTTACTGATGGAGAATGAATCAAAAACATTTCTGGATCACTGCTTTACACCACCACAGCATATCAAGATCTTCAAAATGCTTGGGACTCGTATGAAGATGAAACTCTAGACAAGACTCTGACCACAGAGACTACAGGACATCTGTCAATTATATGTTTTCTTTGGGCCTCAATTTTATCATCTGTCAAAGAGCAATGATTAATGTTCCTCATGGAGTTAATTCACAAGAAGCACAATGCCTGGAAAATAATACGGGTTATGAAGCCCCAGATAAATGTTAGCCAGTGTCATCAGATAAAGCTCCAGTGTATAGTCAGGAACCAAGGATCCTAATCTCCTGATTCACAGCTGCCTGATGCCTTCACAAAGTTTTGCATCTTTTAAAGATTGCACACAACCTTTTTCTTACACAGTGGCTTTCCCTGAGAAGTAAAAGACTAGAAAACGTAAATGGAGCTCTGTCCAAGGGAGAAGTTGGTTAATTATGTGTATAAATGGACTCTAGCTCCCAGCTCCTAGCATTTGGTGTGCTTCCGTGGGTTTACAGGAAGGGCAGAGAGATAGATAGCCCTTGCTCCAAACAATCAGCTCACAGAACACATCTTCAGGGGAAGAACTGGGGAATGTACAGAAGCAACACTGTGGGTGGGAGGAAACGCTCTTGCTTTCCTCCATCCTAGAGACCCAAGGTGGGTGAGAACAGGAATGTGCAATTAAAGAGGATGAAACAAAGGAAAGAGGCAGAAGACAGACAGCTGACATACGGTCTCAGGTGTTCTTGGCATTCTTTTGTTGGGTGATCTGGCCTTCAGAACCCTATGAGCCTAGACATTCTCTGTACTACCTGAGACCTGTAGTGAGCAACAGAAGCAAGTGGGGGGCACCGGGGGTTGACAGTGCAAAGAAGGAGTGGGAACCACTTAGAGTGCCATGCATGTCATTAATTCTGTGTGCTGAGAACCATGTCCTTGGCCTCAGTCAAGAAGAGCTTTACGAAGTGAGACATAGAAGGCAGCCTGTGCCACTGGGGCA